CAAGGACCCAGAGTGGGGCAAAGTGAGGGTGGAGGCGGGTGTGGATGCTTCACCTTTCCCACACACATTTTCTATGTTGTCGGTTTGGGGAGTCAAACCACTGACCTTCCAATCACAAGCCCATCCTCTCGTCTCTGCGTCACCACTCCCCATACAGGGAGATTTTAAACTAAATGCTTTAAAATGCACACAGAACAGTAAGTACCAAATAGAGCAGGGCCAGGCTCATTACTAATTTTTGGCCAAAATGAGTCTATCAAAGAGCTTTTCTAGGATGCCGGCCAAAATCACACAACCGACTGGGCAATGCTGTTCCTTCATTATACAACCCACTGTTTCTGCAAAGTGTCCAGTAAGATCAGTGATTGTGAAAAGGCCATTGTGTTTCCTGCATCTGTCATGAGGGGGCTAACACTGCCTTGTGTCCCCATGACCTCTACACTTTTACTGTCTGGCAGACTTATGACATTTTTTCACCCTCCAGCCAACACTGACTCACTTCCACATAATCTGTCCACCCATGCCACACACCAAGAGCCATTCTGAAACACTTAGTAAGAAGCTTGTTTTTAAATTATTATTAGTTTTAATTAGAAGAGTTAGCATCCTGTTAGCATCAACCCTTGATGTCTCACTCCCATGTCTCCAGCCGGGTGCCTGCCTCATCGCATTTTGCCGACACGGGCAGACTGGAAGGCTGAAGGAGTAGAAAGGCGGTAGGTGGGAAAATGTGGTAAAGGAATGCTTGTCAAGGTTTCCTGATGCCACAGTCAGCTTCAGAGTAGAGGACAGCAGGATCTAGCCCTGGATGGTTCAATGAAAACTAAACCATGCCAAATAAATCCCACTGTATTTTCACATCATCTCCCCCCTTAATGTAACACAAAAGCCTTTGGGCAAACTCAACCTTAACTACACTAAGGAAAAGCACAAGAGCATCATGAGTAACAATACACACAAACAAAAAAAGAGTGAAAGACTGCACAAGAAAGTATGCAAACCTACTAAAAGATTGACACACCCGCTTCATTCTGAAAATAGTTTTTTCATTCTTATCACACCAAATCCCTGTGTCACCTTCTGGCACCTAAATGCAATTAAAATTTGTATGTGGAAGGGCAGCCAAGTGAAAATCCACTTCACACAATTGACGTGATTGCACATGCCAACATTAATGCTCGTCCCAAAATTCCAACAAAAACACACATACACATTGCACACACAGAGCTACAATAATTAGAAATGGGTTGTACATTTATACCTTCTGTACACACCGTTACACAAAGTTAGCCACACACATCGATAAAGACAAATGGGTAGAATGCTGAATTAGATGTCTTCAAACTTTAAACTTAAAACTCAGATTCTATTACTTTAACCTGCTCTGTAGCCTCAAAGTACAGGATAGACTGTGTTCTTCTTTTTTCTGTTCAATTACAAAAACAGCTGGGGGTACAGAGCAGAATGAGAGGAAGAAAGAAAACGATAAAAAGTAAAAGAAAAAAGTGAAGAGAGAATTTCTAGCTTTTAAACTCTTCTTTTGTATCCATCAGTAAAGCTTTCTTGTTTGTATGAAGTTTTCAACGTCTATTGTCATTTCTTTCTTTTAAAACTTCTTTTTTTATTTTAACTTGTAATTTCTTTGGCCTTGAGGCTTTTCACTCTTCACGAGTTTGTGACGTAAAGTTTAGGCGACAAGGACTGGTTTTTATCCTCAACCTTCACTAACCCATGTGACAGATGTTGCTTTCCTTCTAGTAATGCTTTGCTCTTTAGGCTTCCTCCAGAACATACGTAATTAGAAATTTTCATTAGCAACACCATTGATCTGGAAGCTATCCATACGCTGCTTCCAATGAAATGTAAGGAAAGAGAACGACTAATCTGAGATAAACCAAATTAATTAGATGGAAAGTTTAAGGAGTGGCCCAAAATACTGATATGCATTAGCTCTGGTTGAAATCATGATCAGTCTCAGAAACATAACTTCCTAAAATATAAACGGTTCAGTTTGAGGCTTCTTGCAAGATTCTCCAACAGTGTGCTATAAAACAGTTAACAATGGAGTTACTTTTTTTCCCTCCTACAGTTAAAACAGGAAGTTTTACATTTTGACAGACTGATTTTTCTAATTGTTTTTGTCAAGTTTAAATTAAAATAAGGCTGAGCATAACTCAGGTTTTAAAATAACTGATTCAGAATAGTTTTCAATACAAAGCATTCACTCTCCAGGGTTGATCCAAGCAAGCAGCTTGGTTTACTATAAATGGTGTTAATGGCATGATGACCAATGTTTAGACAGTTGTCTGAAATCTGACGTAAATTTACAGAAGATTTTATTCAGAACATTTACAGAATACAGGACTTATGAGCTTGCCAACATTTAAAATGTTTCATGAACTACAAACTACGTTTGGAAGCTACACATTAAATCTTGAGTATCAATTGTTAAAAAAAAGAGAAAGAAAACAAACTTAAACTCATCAGTGTCCATGACTCAGAAACCCAAAACGTATTCATCTTAGTGACTCAAGTGCATTACAGTAAAATTATTCCTTCTTGTTCTTTCTTCTCTGGCATAGGTCTTTATTGTGTTTCTTTTGAAAACCCTAAACAATTTTCTGCTGCAAAACTCTGCAGCAATGAAGCTACTATGGTGTTCAATGAGCTGTGCAGAGCTTCCATCATTTTTCTTCAAATGATAGCTAAATGCCCATTTAAAAGAAGGATTTTCTGTCCGATATCAATAAGCCTCCAACCAACATTTTCACAAAGATCTGGATCGAAATCAACACAAACCTGAACCAACCAAAACTAATTTCCTGGAAATCCCTAGCTGTGTGACTCGAGAGCAAACAAGTCGAACCAGGACCTAAAAGCCAAAGCTTACAGTGTGTGTCTGTGTTAAAAGATATTTTAAACTTTTTTTATTTATTTATTATTTAGACAGTTGAATGATGTTTGTTAAGTTTGATCTTTATTGTACGTGGCACTGAGTCAATCAATACACAATCATAAATCAAATAACAGAAATGTCATAGGACCAATTCACTTAATTTTGAGGGGAAAATATATGTAATAAAATATTTTTTACATTTAGATCATTTTAAGTAAATCTTTCATTTTCTTTATACAGTAGTCCCTCCTCGTTTATCTCGTGGTTTTCATACTCAGCAAGTGAAAAATCGCCAAGTACGAA